TTTAGTCAGATTCACCTTGCCTACGTGTACAATACTTTATCACTTGGTTCTACTAATGGAGAAATTCCCTCTCACTCTGGTCTGAGTTCTTTCTTCTTAATTCTATTTCTATTGCATTATTTGCATCACGTTTCTGGTAAAATCTGGCTGTAATTGTACTGTACCTGGTATAGTTTTTCTTTTTTCTATGGGGAATGTTACCATCTCAGGTACCGTATTCACTGACTTCAGAATTGTGTCGCTTAAAAAAATGACCCATTAGCATTGCCATGCAAGTATGTAAATTACTTAATTTACATTCACCGTTCATTTATCACCCTGCATCTGGGCATGGAACTACAAACTACAATGGAATATTTTTAGAAATGAATGTAAGCGAACATAACATTGTCAACGAAACTACTCACCGCTCCACGACCTCTCATGTTGTACTGTTGTGTTTCCGGTCACGTGATTACACCGAACCGATCGCGCATGCTCAATGACACCTACTTCACATTGTACGCAGGAATATTTAATTCATAAAATTTAATTTTTTTACGCATGGAAACGCCCATAGTTAAAACGGCTACGCAGTACTGTTGAAAGAAATGTTAAGACAAAATACATAAGCCTATTAACTGAACTGAAACAAAGGACGTTTTAATCTTCTTTAATCCGTTATTCTTCCTGGGGTTTGTAGTTCCATGATCTAGGAGAGAACGACATATTTCAGACATTCAGTTTGAGCCTACATTCCCCACTCCAATCAAATAATTTTCACAGCCTTGGTGAGTTGTATACATAACGTATATATAACGGCTGTGTTCAGAGACGCATGTTCATCGTTCATAAAACGGGAGAGGTTCTTTGTCATTAAAGAAAACCCCTAAAGAAAAAGCTCCACAAATGTAGGAGAATGCAATTTACTGTTTTTTTATATCAGTTTTCATTCTCTAGATATTCAACTTTTCATCGGTATTATGTAATTAGCCATCTTGATTCTCAAGCAAAGGATTATGAGTAAAGTATGACATCATAGAATCTGTTGTCAGAAATTGAGAAAATTATTTCATCTATAACTTCAAAAGTTGAACTTTATGTTATGTTGTTTGGGTTGATGTTTCCTTTAATGTTTCCTTTCATAAGGTATACACGCGATGTGTATATAAAGAGCACTCATTCTGACTTCTAGGATATACCTGCATTTGCGTTCCATGTGTTTGAGTGATCGTGACAACCACGAAAATCAGCATAGGATGTCACTAGTGTGTATTAGTTTGAAACGCATTTCAATACCATTTTTTGCTTCCTAGATAAGTCGTCATTGGCAAAATATAGTAGTACATTCTACGATAGACGACTTTCCCGGAAGTCGAAGATACGGCGTTTCACATGCGCCCCTAGGAGGGGGGTGGGCTACTTGCAAAAAATAATGACAGGAGTGTGTAGCTGGTTGTTTGAAACCCCTACCCCTTATCAGCAAGTAACTCAAAAAGCAGGTGGGCTTGAAAGAAAAAATACAAAATGCTTTGACGATCGAAAAGTTACAGAAAGAAAAAGTCTGCTTCATTCTACTGAATCACTCAAGCTCTAGAGGCAGTTTTTGGAAACTATGGACCCCTTTTCAGACAGAAATAATGAAAAAAGGATACCCCTTTTCAGACAGACATGGTAAAATAACATACTCCTTTTCAGACAGAATCCTAGATCCGCCCATGGTGAATTTGGGACCCCTTTCGGCGGCACATATGCATATAGCACTTCAATGTGAGTACGCGTGATATTGTACTTCTGGCTGCACTAATCGACGTCACAAAAATAAAATTCTCTTCTATCGACTATAAGCCATGACAAAGCAGGAGTATTTTTGCACCCCAGTCTCGCTACTTCCGGGAAGTTTTCTATGCAGCAAACCATGTGGTGGCGCTATTGCATCAATCGTACGATGGCACTATTCTCGGGGCAACCATCACGATGAAAACAAAGGCCAAAAACTCTCAGAGAACGGTACTTTGGGATGGTTGTTGAAACTCCCCTGGACAGTGTGACAAGATTACCCCTCCGTGTGTAACATATATAATAAATTCGGTTGTTGAGTCTGTTTTTTCCGATCCGAGGATTACGCAATTTTCGATATTTAATAATAGGTATTTTGGCTTTCTATTTTATCACTGGTTAGAAGTGAGTATGGTTTACGAGAGGTGGGCTCTGATACGTGTATGGTCCTCAATTCGCCCAGTACTGCTTCTTGCAATACCACACATTGGCAACATCAAAAACAATATAATATTCATGTGAATTCGCAAGGTCCGCTTCAGATCTGTTTATGTATAAACATGAACGAACTAAGTGCTAGTTTGTGATATGACTATTAAGCAACAAAATAAACAATGCACTACAAAACACTATGGCATTATAGAAGTCCCGCAATGTCATTCAAATTTTTTGTAAATAATGTATTTTACAAGTGTTGTATATGTTATTATGAGTCCATGTCAAACATGACGCAAAGACTGTATCGCTCTAAGAAATATTTGGTAATAACAAAATGACACAACATAAAAATGAAGCTAGAATATTATCTCTTTATTTTTGAACACCAGAAAGTTACATATATTCATAATATGGGAAGATGTTTTTCCCATTATTTGCTTCAGTTAAATTGCATAAAAGTTAAGAAACATAGGTTGCAAAATATGTTTTGAAAACTGGTCATTGTGGTTTAACAATATTGAATAAAATTTAAACTGCAAATAATTTAATGATTTATTGTATTTCTGAATTTCTTCTCCGGTTGTACATACTACGTGATTAATTTAAATTGTTCTCTTGTTAAGGCTCACCTAAAATAAAACATAAAGTCAAGAAATCAATATAATAAGCAACACATACCATGCATGTGTGCAACACAATATGTCATCAAATATTAAATATCTTAAGCATTCTTGTTTTAAATGCATAATTATAATTTTCTTTGTAAAGTGACACAATATCATTTATATATATATTGACAATCATCGTTTACATATACCAATACATTTTCAGCAATTATATGTAAATTCACATATGTTTAAAATTTATTTGCCACATTTTATTTGTAACACTTGTTACCTAATGAGCTACTCCTATGAAAGTTAAGTATTGGCCAGAAATAATAGAAGGATAATGGTTTTTGAAGTACGTTTTTTTACTGAACTAAAATGTGAATATCAATAATTTACTGGAGATATATACACTATACACAATTATCAAATACAAATGTCAATTGATATCATTTCTTTTAGACAATGATATGTAATGCAGTAGAATGTTTTATAATGATCTAAGATAAACTTGTTTTCCGCAATACAATTTGAAACGCAAAATAATTAATATACCTTTATCAAACATAGTAAATATTTATTATAATTGACTCATTAAGAGCTATTCAAGCTGAATTCAAGTTATGCACTTGAATGTTACTGCACATATATGCAATGTATAAGTTCCCTCTGTATATGAAACACATTATCATCCTTGAAACACTAAATCATATGTCAATTTGTTGAAATATTTTCACATCAAACGTAACATTAATCTTATATGATTTTTTTATTCCATGTCACGGAGCAAAATTTTGAAATATTAATAAATATTTTTAGATATTAAGAAAAGTATTTTGACCATTTTCCACTACATTTCTGTGGGTTTTTTTTCATTTTCAATATCCTGATGGCATGAACCTATAATAATGAAAATTTGTTGAACATGATATATAAATTTCAACTTGGCCCAAACCTTTTCAAAATATGCTTACCTCCACAGGCCTTGCAGTCACATCCAACGAAGTGGACCATTGTAACATCTTTTGTTGTGCCATCCGGACATATTAATGTTAGCACATCACCTTCGCTGGGTTTTTTGCCATCACTAATATCATCATCAACCTTGTCTGGAAGAACACCTTGGCAACACTTACATTTGTTCTCATAGTATGGTGGGTCTGGTATGGCTATTGTCTCAGAATGACATTCCCCTTCACATGTATTGATTGCAATTCCATCTGCAGTACAACCATCTGAGTCTGTGATATTTCTTATTTCAGACACTAGGGAACATACTGTGAATAGAATGAAATAGTATCACTGTTACAGATTGCATGCAATTACATTAAACAGAAAAACAATACACCATGCTAAAATTCCCCAAATAAAAATGGATATAGCACAAGTCCAATAAGAGGTAAAGTGTGTTTTTTCAAGCCACACCCAAATGGCGTACATCTGTAATATATCTGTAGAACATAATATTAAAAATGTAAATGTATACTAATTGAGGTATATATAAAGATTCGTTGGTGCCATACTATATAATTTGGTTTTAAAAAACGATGCAGGGATCTTCATACAATTTATGAAAACCATTTTGCAAAACAGTAATCTGTTTATATATATTTATATTATAGCCACTTTAGTATAGGTTTCTGTATAATTTGAATTGTGCAAATGATAAACTCCTATTTTGTGTTTTTAGAAAGGTAATTGCTGTCGCAAAATCAAATCTAAGGCTGGTCCTAAATTATTTAATATTTGCTGTTCAACAAGAATGTGTCTTCAAGCAAGTTATGTATAAGAACACAGGGAAAAAATATGAATCTTCAAGCTCTGGGATCGATTTAAGTTTGAAACTCTAATACCAATTGACAAAATGAAATAGAAATAATGCTCACATTAACACATAAATAATCATATGTAACTGTTGGTTATAATTGTACTCTCAATACCCAGACCTTTTGCTCAAAATTTTCCATTCCCATGTAGACTTGTTTATGATACCAATTAACAAAATAGCTGATGCGATTCTCACATAAACATAATGTTCTTTTTCCTTATATTACTCACCTGCACAATGTTCTTCATCCACACATACCATTTCACTATTTGTACACATGCTGTAAAAAAAATAGACGATTAATTACATGTAATTAATATGCAAAAATAATGTGTTTTTTTTCTTGAGCACTGAATCATCTTCAACAGATATATTTTTATATGTATTCATTAATTTATTTTCTTTCACTGGCTTATATTTACACCAAACTTACCACTTCTGACATTCTTCATCTTTAATTAACTCGCCATCTAAATATGTCACTCCATCAATTACACATGGTCCTGGTGCACATTCTTCCAACATACATTCTCTGGTATTTTCACTACTGCCTATGCACTCTTCTCCTCCATTGGCTGCAGATGGGTTATTTGCCGACCTTCAATATAGAATGAAGAATAATGATGTACTAAACAGGCATCTAGCAACAATTATGTACAATCAGGTTTAGTATGCACAATTCTTTAATGTGACTTGGTAAGTATCAGCTTTTTAAAGCCCCCACTTTAATGTAACTTTTCAATCTTATGCACTTTGCTATCAATATCTTCCCAAGGCAGATGTTCAAATAAGTTTTCATAATGATACCTACCTAAATCGAGACTCTGATCCTTGGCCACATGTTTGACTACATTCTGTCCATGGCGTCCAAGCACTCCACCCACAGTCCACTGAACATTCCTCTTCAGTACATATAATTTCACCTTCTTTACATGTGCTATTTTCAATAAACAAAATATTTCATTTTAACCACAAATTTTAAAAACAATTGTTCCATATTGGCTGTGATGAACTTCCTGTATCCTCTGTTCAGTTGATATATGTATTGTCAGAATAAAACACACCCTGTGTAAATAAAACCAGGATCCAACTAAAACAACCAGTAGATCATGTTCCAGTCATACTTCTATGTGTAGAGCATTAGTACAATTGCATTTTAACTTACCAGTTATTACAGTCTTTTTGAATAATATCCCCTGGTGGCCAAAGTTTCCCGTTTTCATCGACACACTCACATGCTTTAAGTGGTACACATTCATCATCATCATTTAACAAAGTATTTTCTGGACAATGGCATCCTGGGACACATTCATCAGCATCAACACACTGTGCATTCTCCTGCAAGTCTCTACATGAAAGTGGACACTGTCTCTCACAGTTTTCATCCCACTCTGTTCCTGTGGGACATTCTTCATCTAAGAATAATCATTTGACGGATTGATTAATAGAATACACACATGTTAAGCAGAATAGCATTATTTATGGAGCAGCAGTACAGTTATACTGATGTCTAATAATATAACAATTTCGTCATTTTACATAATATTGGCATGGTGATGTTTTTATTTATTCACTCATATGCATTAAACATTTAAAACTTACCACACATTTCTGGGTTACATTCCTTTATTTCGGTTTTTACTCCTTCACAATCCTCACCATCATTCTTTGGTGGTGGATCATCACATTCCCTTGACCTAGTCGTTCTGCCACTTCCACATGTCTTGTCACATTCTCCCCATTCAGACCATGGTGACCATTCACCATCAACTGTGTACGAGATTTAATAATTTAATTAAATGGTTATATAGTGGACAACATTTAGTTATGCATATTCAGTATTCGATGACCATTACAAATTGACACTAATGACACAGGAAATGTATATACAAGAAAAACAATAGTTCACTTGAAACATACGATGAGTGTAGTTTGTAATATTCCTAATTCTCAGGGATGGAGCTACGACACAGAAAATTTCATGTTGCTAAGATGTGCGTGCACCACTGTACAATGTATTTATATAGGCTCTGCGCAAGCTGTTTTGGAGCGCTGGTCAAAGAGCCGGTGAAAACAGCTAAAATCCTGAACAACAAAATTTATATAATTATGTTGCACATGTAGGAGTAATCTTATTATACACAGTTATACGCATACTGTTCAGAAATATCTCAAAAACTAGCCCAAAGTACAGTTTTTTGAGAGCTCTTGACCATTGTTTTTGCCGACTGTGGTTGCAAGGCGATGATAATGTGTGAATCTTCGCTTCTGAAAATACTGTACCTGAGCATGCTTCCTCGTTACAGAACTCAACCTCTTCAGTTTGGTCCTGGTTTTCGCATTCCTCACCACCATTACGTGCCGGAGTAAATGACCTTGATCTTGTTTTCTCTCCCATACCACAAGTTTTAGTACATGGCGTCCATTCACTCCATGGATCCCATGTACAATCCTCTTTACAGAGAACATCCTCACACTGGAATTGCCCGTGTTCACAAGTGCTATAGAAACATAATTGTCATCAATACTGTGAAATACTTGGAATTGAAATCAATTTTCGCTATTTTCACCGAAGGAAGGATTCAGTGAAAATAAAATCCAGCAAAAATATCTTTTTCCTATATTGTACATTCAACTTGTCAAAAATTAGTGAAAATAAATTCCATACAAAACAGGGAAAATGAATTCCGGCTAAAATAAAGTATTTTACAGTATATTGAATTGGTTACTAGGTTTTATTTTCATAATTATATACATAAACATTCATATTGTATGTATTTAATAATAATAATTAAATAATAAATTAATTACTCTACAAGAACCATCTGAAAGTAAAAGTACTGTATGGTAAAAACAAAACATAACATTGTACAGACAAAAACAAATATTATGTTTTAATAATAACTAAAATCATAAAGAAAAATATCTATTACAGAAATAAAAGCCCTCGTTCTTATTCAATTTAATTTGTATATTGTATTTTTTTAAATATTTGGCCAATGCAATACTAAAATTGCACATTTTTATAAAGTTGTTTAGTCTTTCTTTTTTCTGATTTGTTTTGATATGATTACATTCATAACCACGCCCATTTATGGCCTACCTGGACCATTAATGAGCATAACCTGGAACAATAGTTGATAAGATATAACACAAAAAATAACTGACAACAATTCCATGCTACACTACATAATCAAATCAGTAGGAGAAAAATATATAGACACCATGGTACACATGAAGTAATGTCAGGTGTTTTGAAATAATCGAGTACATCCTGCTTTATATATTATACATCTACCATATATCATTGTGTATGTTAGTGCTTCTAGTACTTACCAATTTTGGCATTCTTTGACAAGTATAAATCCAGGGGGATATTCTACTCCATTTACAACCATTCCAATTGATTCAGGAAGTGGCACAGCAGTTGTTTCTGAAACAAATAATTGAAAATTAAGTAAAAATTTTAAATCACAGTTAGCAATGTTTTATACATACGAACAATAATAATACAATACAATAATTATACAATACAATACAATACGAACCTAATAATGTCTGTGTTACAGACGGTCCTACAGACGGTCCACCTGGTCCACCAGGTCCACCAGGTCCACCTGGTCCACCAGGTCCACCTGGCCCAAGTGGTCCCAATGGGCCATATGGTTCTCCTACATTATCTGGTATAAGTTCTTGTTCCTCATCAGTTGTGGAGGCCCATCTGGTCCACCAGGACCTCCAGGTCCACCAGGCCCACCTGGACCTCCTGGTCCACCAGGCCCTCCAGGTCCTCCTGGTCCTCCAGGTCCACCAGGCTCCCCTGGTTCTTGAGGTTCTTCTGGCAATGTTGATGGATCACCAGGTCCTCCAGGACCTCCTGGTCCACCGGGGCCACCAGGTCCTTTTGGCCCAAGTGGTCCTCCAGGTCCCTTCGGCCCACCAGGCCCATCTGGTCCACCTGGACCACCAATTTCTCCAATGTCATCTGGTATTTCAGTTTCTGGTGATACAGTAGGTCCTCCTGGTCCCCCTGGACCACCAGGGCCTCCCAACCCACCAGGTCCACCTGGTCCACCTGGGCCTCCAGGCCCACCAGGTCCTCCTGGACCACCTGGACCACCTGGTTCATTTACTTTATGTTCAGCATCTGGTGGGAGAGTTGGTCCACCTGGACCTCCTGGTCCACCTAAAGTAAAATCAAAGAAAGCTTAGAAAGAACTCCCATGATGATACGAGGTACCTGTACCTTACGAAACAGTGCTTT